TTAAATAAGGCTCCATCTTGGCAGACTCTCATTGCTGGCCTCAAAGCAGCACGTGGCCATGTTGTGAAGAACCTATGGAGAGAGCCACATGACAAGAAACTGCAGGCAGTGTCTAAGAGCTGAGAACGGCCCCCAGCTGACAGCCATCATGAAATGGGGGCCTCAGTCCTACAACTATAACGAAGCTAATTCTGCCAACAACCTGAGGAAGCCTGAAGCAGATCTCTCCCCAGTTAAGCCTCTAATGAGACTGCAGCCCCAGCCAGCATCTGGATTGTAGCCTGGTAAGATCCTGAGCAGAGGACCTAGCTGAGCTGTGTCTGCACTACTGACCCAGAGAAACTGTGAGATAACAAATGTAAGTTGCTAAGTTTGTGGTAATGTGTTATATAGTAACAGAAAATTAACACAGATCTGAAGGGGGTAACAGAGGAAACTATGCAGATATCAGAGGAACATTCCAAGCAGGGGAAACAACAAGGACCTAAAGCAGGTATGCTTTACATGTTCAAAAAGATCAAGGTCAATGTGTAAATGCAGCACATGCAGGAGAAGACCAGTGGACGAAGTTAGAGGGGACAGAGAGCTTTGGCAGAGACTGACCAGTTGTTCAAGCATTTCCCACTTCTCTTGGGCACATACCTAGACTACTATTTCCTAACCGCCCATAACAGACTTCTTTCTGGTCAAAGGAACATGAATAATGACGTATGCCACCATGAGGCCTGGTCAATTTTAAAAACAACCCACTCTCTCTTCACTGTGAGGACACTGGATATCAAGGCCCAGAGTGATCTTAAGAACATATATTGAAAATGGAGGAGCTTCTGTCAGCCTAGGTCCCTGAATGACTGTGTGTGACAGTGTCCCACCTCCCTGCTAAATAAACGTTATATACAAAATAAACTACTATGGTGATCTACTTCTAAAAATCAGCCGATAAAAACCCAATGGGTCACAACAATCCAATCCCACTGTGCGTGGGGGGTCAACTCGACAGCAGCTAACAACAACAATAATTATAGCAGTTAGTCTGCCCTAACCAGTACAGGGGACAAATAATGAAGGGCCTTGTAAACCATGACTTAAAATATGTTTTAGTTCCTTAATACAACCAAACACTTCGAGGGACAGAGTAACAGGGGTGGAGGTCTGGGGGTCATGGTTTCAGGGGACATCTAAGTCAACTGGCATAACAAAGTTTATTAAGAAAATGTTCTGCATCCCACTTTGGTGAGTGGCATCTAGGGTCTTCAAAGCGAGCGAGTAGCCATCTAAGATGCACCAACTGGTCCCAACCCACTCGGAGTAAAGGAGAATGAAGAACACCAAAGACACAAGGAAAGTATTAGCCCAAGAGACAGAAAGGGCTTCATCAGCCTGAGACCAGAAGAACTAGATGGTACGCGGCGACCACCAATGACTGCCCCGACAGGGAACACAACAGAGAGTCCCCGATGGAGCAGGGAAAAAGTAGGGTGCAGAACTCAAATTCTGGTAAAAAGACCAGACTTAATGGTTTGATTGAGACTGGAGGGACCCTGGAAAACATGGCCCCCAGACTCTCTGGTAGCCCAAAACTAAAATCATTCCCGAGGCCAACTCTTCAGACAAAGATTAGACTGGACTGTGGGACGTAATGATACTCGTGAAGAGTGTGCTTCTTAGCTCAAGTAGATACATGAGACTAAATGGGCAACTCCTATCCAGAAGCAAGATGAGAAGGCAGAGAGGGTCAGGAGCTGGTTGAATGGACACAGGGAATCCGGGGTGGAAAGGAGTGTGCTGTCACAGTACAGGGATAGCAACTAGGGTCACATAACAATGTATGTATAAATTTTTGTATGAGAGACTAACAAACTGTAAACTTTCACTTAAAGCACAACAATTAAAAAATACATATATATATATTAGCAGCATCACTCAAGCTGCTGTGTTGAGAAAAACCGTAGAAGCAAGGCTAGAAAAGCAAGGAAACTGGTTAAAAGGCTAGGCAAGGGTCAGCAAACTATAGTTTGTGGCCAAATGTGGCATAGCAGAGGGTATAGTATGATTTCACCTTTTTCTAAGGATAGTGTTATGGATTGAATTATGTCCCCCAAAAATATATGTTGTAAATTCTAACCTCTATGTCTGTGGTTATAATCCAATTTGGGAATGGGTTGTCTTTGTTATGTTAACGAGGCAGGATTAGTATAGGGTGTACCTTGAGTCAATCTCTTTTGAGATATAAAAGAGATTAAACAAGCGAGCAGAACAGAGATGGAGGAAGACTGATCCAAGTGCCATATGGAGATCTCCAAGGAACCAGGAAACAGAAGCTAAAGAGACAAGAACCTTCCTCCAGAGCAGACAGAGAAAATCTTCCCCTAGAGGCGGGGCCCTGAATTCAGACTTCTAGCCCCCTAAACTGTGAGAAAATAAATTTTTGTTTGTTAAAGTCATCCACTTGTGGTATTTTTGTTATAGCAGCACTAGTAATGAAGACAGACAGAAATGATTTTTAAATTTTAAGATCATATTTAAAATATTTAGAATGTTTACTTCTATCCATTCACACTGTCACTTTCCTAACATAAATCATCATTTTCTATTTGCTGGATTACTCCATAGTGTTGGAACTTTCCATTCTTGCCTCCTTCAAAGATATTGTTCACACTATAGCCAAAGCTCCATTCTTGGATATAAATCTGATTATACCATTTCTCCCAAGTAAAACCTTTCCATCGCTCCCAACTGCTCTCAGGATAACATTCAAATTTATTAATAGGCTTTCAAGGACTTTCATGTGATTCTTTCTGATCCTGTCTGTTTGTTTTCAGAGTCACATTCTCTTTCACCTCTAGATCTTTAAACAGGCTGCTTTTACTTAGGGCCTTCCTACTTTTTCTTTTTTCAAGCTAACTCCTATTTAAGGTCTAAGTCTAAATGCCAGTTTTTCTGGAAAGTTCTCCCCAACAACTAAATCTGTGTTAAGAAGTTCTATGTATTTCCACAGTACCCTATACTTTCCCATATTTTTATCACACTGGTCATGATTTCCAGTTTATATGTCTTTACACACATTGGGTATAGGTTTGAAGGGCTATATTTCTCTTGTTCACTGTTGTATCTCAGTCTCTGGCTGAATTTAAATCTGATTGAAGCTAAAAGAAATGACTTAAAACAATCTGATTAAGAGCCCAAAAGCTTAGTCAACTATATAGATAGTAGCTAATCAAAGCTGTGTTTTCAAAAATCAATATAAATTCATGACTTAAAAATAATATATTTACTAAAAGCATGTAACACTTGAGGCTTATTACATGCCTGGTACTAGTCTAAACATTTTACATGTATTATTTCACTTAATCCTCATAACAATCTTCTAAAATAAGTATTATTATTATTATTATTACAGGAAACTGATACAAAAGGGTTAGATAACAAGCTGAAAATCACATAATCAGAGGTAGAACTGGGAAGCTAGGCAGTCTCACTGCTCTTTATTGCCTAACTTTTTAGTACCTATTTGTTCACTAGGAGTTACTGAGCCACAGCACTAGAGGGTTGTCTTCAGGTATTTTAAAGTTGCAGGAGAGACATGACATTTATTCACATGTGGTTTAGAAGGTCAAATTCAAATAACAGACCAGAATCTAGGCTAAGCTGTGAATTTTAGGGTAGTTGTAGAGCTAATGGTCTAGAAATAAGCAGGTGAGATGTCAAGCATGGAGGTTTAACGGGAGAGCTAATTTAATTTTTGCAGGTAAAATCAAATGGAGTATTTTGAAGAAAAGGTTGATGAAGACAGAAGTGGAATGGCAGTGAAGCTTAAAAGGCTGAAGACTTATGAAGTCAGGATATCAGGATGATTAACATGTTTATAATGTTAGAGATGTGGTCAAGATGGTAAAAGCTGGAGAGCAGATAAACATGTGGTAACTAACTTAGCATTATCTCATATGAAATATCTAGAATAGGCAAATGCATATAAATCAAAGTAGATTAGTGGTTACCAGGGGCAGAGTTAGTGCTGAAGGGGTACAGAGTTTCTGTTACGGGTGATGAAAAATAACTTTTGGAAATGGATAGTGGTGATGGTTGCACAACATGATGAATGTAATTAATGTCACTGAATTGTACACTTAAAAATGGCTGAAATGGCAAATGTTTTTTATATATATTTTACCACAATAAATTTTATTAAAAACACCTAAGACTAAAAATAAAATAAATCAAGAAGTTATAAAATAAGCATGATATCTAGAAATAGAAGAAAATACCAGAATAAAAGCCAAAGTTATTGAAAGCGGTTACACCAAGAATGGGAATCAGGAATGAGAATGGACAGGGACTGCTATTTTCCATTAAAAGCCTTATACTACCACTGCCTTTTTAAAAAGCACTGTTGTTGTGTGTCATCGAGTCGACTCCAACTCATAGCAACAGTACAGGACAGAGTAGAAATGCCCCATAGGGTTTCTGTGGCTGAAATCCTGACAGGAGATTGTCAGGTCTTTTCTCCCGCGGACTGGATGGTGGGTTCAAACATCTGACTTTTTGGTTAGCAGCCGAGAGCCTACCAACCCATTGTGCCACCAAGGCTCCCACATGCATATACTACTGTGACTAAAATAAAATTTTTAAGAAAGACATCATCCACATAGATACAAAAAGAACATCTGTGCGTACACCCTAATTCTGATTTCTGATTTCACATTTACAATTAGCCTAAAGTGAATTAATACCTTTATTTAATTTAAAAAAAAGGTATGGGGGTTGCGCTACACTGTGAGCCAGTTTCATTTTGTTCTTCATAAGTTTATTAAGTGTACCTCATCTTCTAAAACCAGTTATCTAGAAGCCAAAATACCTTCCCACTGGGTTTTTCTACCTTTTCTGTGGAGACCAAATTATACTACAGATCAAGCTCATATCATTTGCAGTGACTATACTTTCAAAGATTATATCAAATAATATCAATTCTGTTTTGTTTCAAAATAATCATTTAAACCTACAGGTCATAATGCTGATTCCACTTTGGATCGAGTGTATTCTTCACAGTATCTGTAGAATGGCACTGCCCAGATCCATCAACCACCACCTTAGCAAATGGATCAGGAAGTCCTGTGGAAAAGGGGAAGATTTTTTTTTTTTTAAAGAATATTTTGACATGTAAGATAGAAGATTAATTACTGTAAATATTACCATTTGCTATAAAACAAAAGATAATTGCATTCTTTAATTCTTTCTAAAAAATTTAACACAACTACAAATGAAAGTAGACTCCTCTCAGGAGAATATACTTTATCTTGCTCTTTTGATTCTACTATCTAAATAAACAAACATATAAATGTATGTCTTTAAACAAACAAAAATCCCATGTCTAGCTTTCCCTTTGGGTGTTATGTAACTATTAAAGAGTTAAGGACTAAGAAAAACAACTTTTTTCACGCAAAGCCTCTGTGTGTGGCTTCCAGATGCTTAATTAAGTCTGAGTCCTACCCTCCAATGTTTCTCCTCTGTTAAACAATACAACAAACCAAAATACAAGCTCTACACCTTGACAAAAAATACCTAGGATTCAACTTAGCCCGATTACATTATTCTACAAAAATTTAACTTGGGAGCCAAGTTACTCTACTGTGGTAAAAAAAAAACTCACAAGTTTTCTGAGGTCAATGAGACCTCTAGTGGTAAACATAAAGCTGGGTAAAGTGTTTTCTGTATTTTTCAAAATTTCTCAATTCTCCCATCATTTCTGAGCCATATAAAACAGCCAAAGCTCAGGAACTTCTCTACTACATAACTGTACTTCCAAACCAAAAAACCAAACCCACTGCGGCTGAGTCGATTCCAACTCATAGAGACCTTATAGGGAAGAGCAGAACTGCCCCATAGGGTTTCCAAGGAGCAGTAGGTGGATTCGAACTGCCGACCTTTTGGTTAGCAGCTGATCTGTTAACCACTGTGCCACCAGGGCTCCTCAACTGTACTTGGTGGGCTCCAAATAATTATGAAATAAACATTTCAATTCAAATACAGAACACACGTTCCCAAGTAAGTTACTTCACAGAAAAAATAATGCTTTATTTTTGAAGGGGGGAAAAAATTCAACCAACTCATCTAGGTTCTGAATGACTTCAATCTGGTCCCTATAAACATCTTAACATAGTATCTTAAATTTAAATGTTGCATAAATCAAAGAGAAAAAAAGGTTACTAATGAAAGCATTCTAAAAAATCCGACGGATAATGGATAGATAGATATGTGATAAAGCCAATGGTAGAATCTAGATGGTGGGTATATAAGTGTTGACTGTAAACTTCACATGTTCCTGTATGTTTGAAAAATTCCAAGCTAAAATCTTGGGGCTGAAAGTAACTTATTTTAGAAAGCCAACAGACTTGAAAACCGTTTTAAAATACAAGTTAACAAAACTTTTCTCAACAATGGCAGTACCCTGGAATAAACAGTATTATCTCACATACAAATTATTCTACAAAAGACAACAAATGGCAATAGAGTTTTTTCTGTACTTACGTAGTTCCTTCTCTGAAATTAATATAAGCAACCCTCAATTTATAAAAGGTCAAAAACATCCCTAAGCACATATCTAAGTCTACTACTGTGGGGATTTGGGATGTTTGCCAGTGTGAACTTGGGGAATACATCCATCCCTGGCTGACTTCCTTCAGAAGGCTTAAGCATTGGCTTTCCAGGGCCATGAAGTATTTCTTCCATTCTGGGTTTTAAAGATAATTCACAGTTTTCCCTAATTCTCTTATTCCGGAAGCAGGCTCACAACTCTTAAGAATTTTTATCAATTTTTACTGCCTACACCAGTGAAAAAAGGGAAAGGTTTCCTCCCTCTTTCTTTCATCTACAATTTAGGGAATAAAAGATTTCATAAGTGGTAACAATGGGTTCTCAGATGTTTACAAAGAACTAAAGTAAGATTCCTCTAGATTTCCTAAGAAAACTGAGACAAAGACACTTGGATATTCTATTTGAGAAGCTGTGTCTGGAAGCTCTGGTAGACGGTAAAGAATATGGGAAGGAAGACTGAGAAAATAAAACTAAAGATTTTATCTTCAAAATCAGTGCTGGAGCTAGAAGAGCAGAAGTCTTGGAAGGAACAGAAGCAGCTGTAAGAGTGTGTTTTCCTCACTTTCCTCCTTTTTCTCTCTCTGTCACTCACCTATCCAATCCTATTTGCCCTTTTCCAGTCCTTAAACTAGGATAAATCTTAGATCAACCTTGAGGAGGGTAAGAAGAGTATACCTTGCTTATTAGCAAGAGACAGGTAAGTACAGATCAGCGGCAGTCTGCAAGAGACAACATTAACTGGTGGCAGCAGAGAGAAAGTTCTGTGGACACTGGCTCTTCGACTGTGATATGCGGCGGTATGTATGTTGGGGATTGCTTATAACTTTCTTAACTACGTTCCAAATTATCCAAATTAATTGCTTTCTTATATAAGCACAGATACCATTAAAATTTATATAATTTTATATGATTGTTATTTTATACACTTTGAGTTCTACTCTAGAAAGACTAGAAGCAATAAAACTTCAAGTGGAATGAATTAGGTATAATTTAAAATTATTATCAAGAGCTTATTATTTCTTTTAATCAGATACCTGAAAATTATCAAATGTCATATATTAAATTAGACAGAAAACATAGCTAGTTCTTTCCTGGCTAGTTCGACTTGAACTTTAAAATCAATGAATCTTCTCTACGTCTAATTTCAAATACTTTACATATAAAATTGTTGGCTTAAGAGTTTTTTACTGAAAATTATGTCATTTTTATGCAATAATTTAAAGGTATTGTAAAGTATGATGTTAAAGGGTAAAGATTTTAAACACAGGTAAGGGGTACTTCCCAGTCCTCTCTCACAAAACCCTAAAAAAAAAGCCACAAAACATTTCATAACAGATTGGCAAATAGGCTACAAAAATGAGAACCAAATGTCTGCTTTGGAGTCTGAGGCACAAGAGCATCTACAAGCAAATGTGACAGAGAGTTCTTTCCTATGCTCTGAAAATTCCAAGCAGCACCAATGACTTCCCCACCTTCCAAGTAATCCTAAATGTACGAGTAAAATTTTCTATGAAACGTTTCAAAAAAAGGTGTTTACAAAATAAACTTTTCCTAGAAATCTAGCAGTGTGTACACCTCAATATATATTTCACATGTACATATATACACACCTGCATACACACATACATACATTCCACAATAAATATTTTGGGGAGGGAAAGGTGGATAAAAGAAAGGGCCTAGGGCTAAAAAGCACACATGCTCTTTTTAAAAAAGGTTAAGACAAATGGCTCTGAAGCAAAGCATTCATAAAATAATGTTGAATATATTTCTTGATACAGCAATCCCGAACCAGACAATTCTGAAAGGTCTATCCCCCCAAAAAAAGAAAAAATACACACACACACACACACACAAAATGTATAAGATTTATATTTAAAGTTAATTTACTTACGGAAAAAATCCTTTTTCACCAAGTTTTTTGCACAGAGTACTGTAAAAAAAACAAAAATACAGAGGAAAAATTAAATAAAATGTTAAGACTGCATTGACAAAAGTTTCAAAAAAACTGAAAACAGCAATGAATAATTAAACACTAACTACAGTAAGCTATGAAATATGCTCACAAACTTTCATTAAAGACCAGCAAACAAGAAACAGCTGGATGCAACTTTAGCAACAATCACCAGTAACAGCTGAGGACAAGAGAGTTTATAAATCTTATATTCTACAAAGGATCCAATTCCTGTCTTCTTTCAAGATCAATTCTCAAACAGCAGATCAATGGTAATGGGGAAACAGTTCTAAGGAGAAAATACATAAATTCAGGTTGTTATGTATCTATTTTAAGGATGAAATAATTTTATACTGAAGAGGATCTTAAATAAGAAAATTAAATTGACGCAGAAAAGGCATTTGACAAAGTCCAACACCCATTCCTGATAAAAATTCTCAATCAAATAGGTATAGAAGGGAAATTTCTCAACATAATAAAGGGCATCTATGCAAAACCAATGGCCAACATCAT